CCCTTCCCCCTTTTGCTTTTTATACTTTTGTAGTTGGACGTTGAAGTCCGTAGCAGCTGTCAAAGTCAAAACCCTTGACCTTTTTAAAGGCCTCCACAGATGGAACTCAGCTGCCACAAAGGGCCTTGGCCCCCCCACCCGTCGCTCCCGCAGGTAGCTGAAGAGGGTAGGTAACGCAACCGTCTTGGCGGTTGTTTAGCGTCGAGAGGCAAGTCCCTCAAGGCGCGTGTCAGCCGACACTTGAGTGTCGAATGAGACCCTCGACAACGCCGAGGGCCAGGCGAGTATGGACAACATATAACATGCCATCGCTTCGATAGTTTGGGAACTCATGCATGGCCAGTGTTTATGAGGAAGCCTGTAATGCGGCCCACATTAATAAATGTCCAGCTCGCGCTGCCTGCATGTGGTCGGTGATATTTGGTTATGGGCCGGACACTCCACCGGCCAGGCGTGAATCTATGTTGTTAATTTGTCGACACATTTCTGTTTGTATGTTGCGCCCAGTAGGACGTGTCCTATCAGTAGTTAGACGTGCGCAATGGACGGTCGAACACTCGCGGACAGAAGTTCGTTGGGATCCGAACTTCGCAGAAATGGAATCGACGGCTAACTGGTTATCAACGGGTCGCCGTGAACTGACTGTCGGCCAATCGTCATAACGAATGCAAGGCTATGACAGGCAGGAGAAAAAAAAAAACATGGCTCAATGACCCTCAGCCGACCCCTGCAAACCCCGATTAAATGCACGTCGATTCGAAGGTTGTGCGTTGGGACTGAAAGCCTTTGCAGCACGCGCGGCTTCGATGCCGAAGCGTGTTCGTAATGTCGACACCCGACTGCGCGAACCGCAAAGCACGCTGTGGAAGAAGCATGACAGCCACTAAACCACACTTATCGCGATGTTGACTTTTATTGGAGGGCGACGAAGATAGACGGCATACAGGAAATGGACCCGGCCACTGACACCGTCGTCAACCCCAATAAACCCCTTTTAGGGCAATTCACAAGGCGAGCACTTTTGCGCACTACCAGGCCGCCGTCATAGAAGACGGACGGGGAAGTCGAAGCTGTTGAAAATAACGGTCAGATTTATGCGGAGCCTCAAAGTTCGCCGGGATCCGAATTTGGCGGGAGCTCGAGTAGCCAGGAACCTGTTTTCGCACGGCCGGTGCCAGTGGAAGGGAGTGTCAGCGGGTGCACATAAGGAACATTATGTCTGGGCGCACACAAGGAAGGCTCTGCCGCTCTCAAGTTTTCGTTGCACGATAGCACGCGCAAAACAAAGGGTAATGGTGGATGCACCACCACACAATTCGGCGCATCGCGACCCCAAACTGACCCCTATAAACACCGATTCTCGCCACCGTGTAATCAGATGTGCTAGCACAAGAGGTTGTCAAAGTCGGACATGTACACTGCGCAGACACGAATCAATTAGAATGACTTTTATTGGAAGGCAACGAAGATCGACGGTATACAGGAAATGAACCCGACCACTGACACCGTCGTCAACCCCAATAAACCTCTTTTAGGGCAATGCAGAAGGCGAGCACTTTTGCGCACTACCAGGCCGCTGTCATAGAAGACGGACGGGGAAGTCAAAGCTGTTGAAAATAACGGTCAGATTTACGCGGAGCCTCAAAGTCCGTCGGGATCCGAATTTGGCGGGAGCTGGAGTAGCCAGAAACCTGTTTTCGCGCGGCCGGTGCCAGTGGAAGGGAGCGTCAGCGGGTGCACATAAGGAACGCTATGTTTGGGCGCACACGAGGAAGGCTCTGCCGCTCTCAAGTTTTCGTTGTACGACACCACGCGCAGAACAAAAGGTAATGGTGGATGCACCACCACACAATTCGGCGCATCGCGACCACAAACTAACCCCTATAAACACCGATTCTCACCACCGTCTAATCAGATGCACTAGCACAAGAGGTTGTTCAACTCGGACATGTACACTGCGCGGGCACGAAAAATTTAGAACTGCTTTTATTGGAGGGCAACGAAGATCGACGGCACACAGGAAATGGACCCGGCCACTGACACCGTCGTCAACCCCAATAAACCCCTTTTAGGGCAAATTCGAAAGGGAACACTTTTGCGCACTACCAGGCCGCCGGTATTGAAGACAGACGGGGAAGTCAAAGCTGTCGAAAATAACGGTCCGATTCACACGTAGCCTCAAAGTCCGCTGGGATCCGAATTTGGCGGGAGCTGGAGCAGCCAGAAACCTGTTATTGTGCGACCGATGCCAGTGGAAGGGAGCGCCAGCGGGTGCATATAAGGAACGCTATGTCTGGGCGCACCGAAGGAAGGCTCTTCCGCTCTGAAGTTTTCGTTGTACTATAGCACGTGCAGAAGAAAGGGTAACGGTGGATGCACGACCACTCAATTCAGCGCAGCGCGACCCCAAACCGACCCCTATAAACACCGATTATCAACACCGTCTAATCAGATGTACTAGCACAGGAGGTTGTCGAACTCGGACATGCACACAGGGCAGACACAAAAAATTTAGAATGGCTTTTATTGGAGGGCACACAGGAATGACCCGGCCACCGACACCGTCGTCAACCCCAATGAACCCCTTTTGAGGGCCACTCACAAGGCGAGCACTTTTGCGCACCACCAGGCCGCCGGCATTGAAGACGGACGTGGAAGTCGAAGATGTTGAAAACAACGGTCAGATTCACGCGGATCCTCAAAGTTCGCCAGGATCCGAACTTGGCGGTTGAATTTTTCGTGGGACCTCAAAGTCCGCCGAGATCCGAACTTGGCGTTTGCTGGACTGACGAGGAACCGGTTTGTGCGGGGGATGTCGGTTATCTCGAGGATGGGTGTTGAAGTGCACAGAAGGAACGCTATGCGTGTGTGCCTGGTCAGGGAGGCCCTGCTGCTGTTTGCAAGTGTCTGTTCGACGAGAGCACGCACAACAGAAATACAACAGAAATGGTAGTCGTAGGTGCACCATGTCAGAAATCGGCGCAGCGCGGCCCCCAATAGACCCTTATAGACGCCGATTCTCCCCACCGACAAAGCGAGCTTGTGCGACGATGCAGTCACAAATGTTGTGATCCGTGATGACAATGACTGGACCCACCAAAAGAAATCACCATGGCTGGTGGCCCCCCCTGCAACCCCATCTAACGACGATTCGTCCAGTCGAGAAGGCGAGGCCCGACTCGCTCTCTGCCAACGTCGACATATAATAGCGCGAACTGCCATGCGCGCGAAGACACGGGAATGTCGGTGGCCAGATTGCACGCAGGCCGATGACGACACCACCGTCGGCAACCGCCTCAAACCCCAACGAGGCAATTGGAATGGCTGGCACTTTTGCGCACCCAAACATCTATGGCGACCACAACATATGCGAAAGGCCAGCCCGTCGGAAATGGCCGGTTAGATTCTAGTCCAACCTCGACGTCCAGCGAGATCCGAACTTGCCCTCGGTTCCACTTACGAACCACTAACGGGTGCCGACCCCGAAGTCCGCCGGGATCCGAACTTGACATCTGTTGCCGCGTGTCGACCGGGAGCATGACACACTTTGTTTTTCTAGGGGTCCCATTGACAGGACTTTTTTTTGCGGGAACGCCACCCAAAGAAAAGTCATGTACCCAGGACTCCGTCAAGATCCATGCAAACAGCAAGCGTGTGATTTCAGCGATGCGGTCGAAACAACAATGACCATCCGAGCAGATCACGACTTCGCATGCTTCATATCGCAAGTCCGCCGGGATCCGAACTTCGTGTTGTAGCCCTCGCACGGTGACAACTGGCAGGGCGTTCTCAACTATCGGCCCCACGCCCTGAAGCTGGAAAATTTCTCGGAAAAGCTAGTCACCAGGGCAACCTGGAACGACATTGTGACTTCGAACGCGAAACCAAAAACGTTGAGTCGCGTGTGAAAACCTGGTGAAAATGGAACTTTGGATGGCGGCGAACTACAACAATCATGCGCTGTTTTTTCAGAGGCGCGTGCTCTCCCAACGACTGCACGACGGCAACACAATGCCACTTCCGTGAGAGCACTACACATGATTGCTGTAGTTCGCCGGTATCCGAACTTCCCATCTCGCCAGGCAACGACATGCGACTCGCGTTTTTTTGTTTGGCGGATGTTGGTTTCGCGCCTGCAGTCACAATGGCGACCCACCGTTCCCCGACGAATAAGACGTGCCGCGGAGGCGGCCGGGTTGTTCGTTATTGAACGAGGTCATTTTTTCATGTTGAGGTTCTCGTCACGAAACATGCGGCGCTCATGCCGAAGAAACGGCATTGTCATCGCAGCGAGCGGTGGTGTCGTTCTCCATCGTGCGCACGCAACGTGTGCATTCTTCGTCCTGGACCCCGCGGATGTTGCGTGCACAGCACTGGCGTTTGTCGTACGCAATTTGCTGTCACGTCCCTCATTACCTGCGCCAGGCACGCGCGCTCAACATCCGTGGCCTCTATGGTGGATCATGTGCACGTTGTGTGCGCGGGATGGAGACGACACCATCTCTCCCGGGATTGACGCCGTAGTCTCTCCGGGGAGGGAGGCACAAGTGTTGTGACGAGAACATGAAAACGGAACGGCGACCCCCTCCTGTTGATGAACACCATTCCTCTCACTGCACGCCACGTGGACGGTGGACATCGTTCACACGGTGGCCACCGCGCGATGCTTAATTCCAACCCTGGTCGCGCGCAGCCCATGTGGCGCCCGCTGGTCGTTCAGCACACCCACCGCTACGACTGTTTGCCCTGCGAAGGATTCGAACCATCAGTCGTGGATTTGCAGTCCAATGTGTTAAACAACGTCTGAACTGTTTGTCGAGAAAAGGAAACGTGCGAGGAACTTTTGTCGACAGGATCTCGTGTTCTGCTGGAAAAAGGCGATTTCGTGTTTGCCTCAACCACGCGGGAGTGTTTTGCAATGTTCAGTATGGCAACCACGTGGGAGTGTTTTGCAATGTTCAGTTGGCTCGTCTTCAATGCCAAGCGAAGCAGGAATCATGGGGCCTTGCGCGAGGAACGAAGGAGTGCGAAGAGAAGGAAATACAGAAACCATCTGGCGCGTCGTCAACCCAAGCAAGAATCATGGAGGCGATCGCGTGGAATGAGTGAGAGGGAAGCAGAAGGGAACACAGCAACCGTGTGCCCCAATGTCTTCATCATCTGTTCCCTCTGTCCCCGCCACTTGCGACACGTGACACGACATGATGATCATCAGGGTGTTGATGGAGATGATGATGATGCTGATTACGATGCAGACGATGATGACGACATGATGATCATCAGGATGTTGATGAAGATGATGATGATGCTGATTGCGATGCAGATGATGATGATGATGAGGAGGACGGTGGCGTTGTTGATGACTACGACGATTTCGGTGATGATGATGATGATGGTGTTGATGATGTCGTTGATGATGATGGTCGTGATGATGATGATGGTGTTGATGATGATGACAACGATGATGATGATGATGATGACGATGACGTTGATGATTATTTGTAAATACTAATCCACAAAACAATCAAATAATTCAGAAAATGACGTTGATGATTATTTGTAAATACTAATCCACAAAACAATCAAAATAATTCAGAAAATGGCAAAAGAAACATGTCAAAGTTATATAAATCATAAATGGATTGGAGGACGATGATGATGATGATGGTAAGCAAGAGTGAAGGGGCCGCTCGCGAGGAACGAACGAGTGGGAAGCAAAACGGCATACAGAAACCATGTGCCCCAATGTCATCGACATCTGTTCCCGCCGTCCCTGCGACTTGTGTCACGTGGCGTGATGCAACTGCTCCCATGCACCGACAAGCATGTGCGACGACTGACACGCGGGCAGGCAGAAAACCGCTTTACCTTAACGAGGGCACAGCGCACACGATGGCGCGGCTCTCTGACGGGGCACAAGTCTTGGACGACGCGCAATTCTCCGACGATGGCGAAGCGCGCACGATGGCGCGACTATTCGACAAGGGCTGAGTGCAGACCACGACGGCCACTTGCTACCGCAAAACGCAACGAGGGAATGTCGAAGCGCCGACAACTGGACCCCAGCAGCGGGGAGAAGGACGGGAAAGAGTTGGCGACGAGAGGGACGCCCGCAGACACGTGGCGCAACAGCGGAGTAGCAAAGGCGATGGAGGAGGTCGCCGAAGGAACGTCATGCGTGAATGCGCTCGTCACGGCTGGAGATGCGAATGCGCTGCACCAGACCCCAGGCAGCGGAGCCCCGAACTGTCGTCGC